CTCCGCCGCCCTCTCCGCCTCCCCCCCCTTCCTCACATCTCACCGAGCGCCAGCGGGGCTCAATTCAAGACTGCCACGAGCTCCACTCGAGCACGATCTCGTCTCTCAAGAGATCGTCCGGACTCCTCCTCCGAAACTACTCCACCGACGGCAGTGTCGACATCGACGGCCGAACTCTCTCCGACATCAGAACCCACCTCAGCGCCGCCTTGACGAACAAGAACACGTGCTTAGAGGGGCTTGCGGCGGCCACCGGGCCGGGGAAGGACGCGCTCGTGGAGTCCTGGGTGGCGGCGTATCGGCATGTCGGCAACTCGCTGTCGCTTGTTTCGAGGTCGTCGGGGGTGAGGGGGAGGGAGGAGAAGGGGAGGAGGTTGATGAGGAGGTCTCCGGCCCCGGCGTAGGTGGTGAAGGGGGAGGAGGAGAGGAGGTTGTTGGAGGGTGGGGATTACGACGGGTATGGTGCGGCTTCGGTGAGTTAATTAATTAATTTGGTGTAAATTCGTTTTTGAAAGGGTATTTTTGCAAAACTCTCCTTTTGGGGGGATTGTTTCCGAAAAGTTGCAAATATCCATTTTTATTAATAAAAACTAGGTTAGTTGCAACAATTTCAGTGTGCAATCGACCACTAAACAAAATTTAGACATTGATGGTTGTCATTGTCGTCTCTGTATCAAAGCTTAGGATTATTGTGAGAATTGATCGTTAAAAATATGCCCCAACAACCACAAGGGTACGGGCTAAAAACATGGGCTTCTTGGCTATTAAGCAAAAATCTTTTATTTAATCACAAAGATTTAATTAAGGACACAATACGATGACCAATTTAATCACAAAAATCTCATTCTGTAACTTTTTGCGTGCCAGATATTGACTGTGGCCGCATACGGGAGTGGGAATTTTACGACCATCAGGGACGCAATCGCATTTGCGCCGAACATGAGCGACGATCGAAACGGGAGTGGGAATTTTACGACCATCAGGGACGCAATCGCATTTGCGCCGAACATGAGCGACGATCGAACCATCATATCGATCGGTGCAGGATTCTACGATGAGAATGTGGAGGTGCCGAGCTACAAGACCAACATTGTGTTGTTGGGAGAAGGGAGCGACGTTACGGATGAGAATGTGGAGGTGCCGAGCTACAAGACCAACATTGTGTTGTTGGGAGAAGGGAGCGACGTTACGGTGATCAGAGGGAATAGGAGCGTGGGAGATGGGTGGAGTACATTCAGAACGGCCATCGTCGGTGAGTCTTAACACTTACATTTCTCGGATTTGGATTCTCTGTGGGTTTTAACATTGCATACAGACCCTAGTGTTTCACGCCTAGTGTTTATTCGTCGAAATCAAATTAATGCATGAGTAGTAAGGTCCAAATTGCGGGGCCAACAATTTCGAATTAAGCCGTTTTTCGAATCAATCAAGGCTTCAAAACTCGAAATTATTATTATTTTGTATGCTCTTGAAGTAAATCTCGATCGGCTTTGCAAAGCGGACCATGAAATT